AAAAATTTAAGTCTCACACTGATCAAACTTATCTCTGGAAGTAGGCTTTCCCTATGAAAGTGTATGGGCCCACATCGGACTGAATTTACGGTAATTTTAAAATAAAGGGTTAAGATGGTTTTATGAAATGTGATCAGATAAGCTGGGTAAAATGCAATGTAAGGTCCAGCTCAGATTAAAGTTCAATTTGTTTATGAACACCAGCCTTAAATAAAGTTTACAAGACAAATCTTAATATGCATATGGAATCTAGATTATAAATCAATATAATATTATATATTATACGTATTTTATATTAATATTTAAATATAAAAATTATTAAACAAATAAACTGTACCGAACATTGATACAATAAATTTATGTGTAATATACAATAGTTATTTTGTCATATTGTTTGCAGGATTAGTTATAAAATTCATTTGACTAATGGATTCAATGAAAAGCAATTTTATTTAAAAGAAAATTCGGTATAAATTAAATACATTGACCAAAATGTTAGTATAAAACTCATTTCCGCAAACATTGAATTATATGATTTTTTAATTTCGAAATAAAAGTAAACCATATAAAAGACTACAAAATTACTATAAATTCATAATTTACTTTGCGTTTTATTTAATACTAGAAACTTTTATTTCTTTTTAATAAAAATTTTGAAAACCATTTTTTACATAACATACGAAAATTACTTTCAATTTAAATTTGCGGACAAAACAATTTTATTTAATTCAATATCAAATTGGGCTTATTATTTACTTTACAAAACTTTTAAATGTTTGAACAAACAAAACATAATAAGATCTCTTTTAACAAAGTATAAAATTACATTCAATTTAATATAAGACGGATAATTATTTTTAACTTTCCTATTATAAAATACGGTTTTATTTATTAATTATTATTAATAATAAAAATATCATCAAAGGATTAATAATTTATTCAAATTAATTTTATAAAATTTCGATCAGATACTTTGGATTATTTTCAAAAATATACTATTACTTTATGAGGAATCTAAAGTAATTGATAATTTTAAAATTAATTCATATTATTTAGAAAATTAGTTTACATCTAAATATTATATAAGGATATTTTAATTATATTTGTTAAAATGTCAAAAGGAATTCGCAATTTCAAAAGTTATCTATTATCAATTTAAATTAAATTATTAAATTATAATATACAGTATATAGTTTAAAATAAATTAAACTTCATATTATAAAAATTAAAATAATATTTATTATTCATACAAATGGCAAATACATTTTGTCAAATTGATTTGTTTTCTTTTTGAAAATGAAATAATTTCTGATTGTTTTCAGAATAAGATTTAATTTACTATTCAAATTTGCGTAACATTTATGTCAATATTACTCTCCCTCTCTCTCTCTCTCTCACTCACTCACTCACTCATTCTCTCACTCACTTTCACTGACTATTCACTCGTCAACGGTAGTGCAGTAATACTACATTTCATATACTGATAAACATATCTACCAACCCTTCCTATCTAATACTAATCTAAAAATCATTTATTTTTATACGAAATCAAAAATTATTTTCGAAATCAATTTCCGCAAAATTCAATTTTTATTTATTATTTGTTTGAATAGAAAATTATGAATATTTTAATACCATTGTTATGAGAGATAATATAAATCTATATAAATATAAAGAGAATTTGTATTTTAAAATTCCTTTAAAAGGAAAGACTGTTTTGATAGCACACCAGAAATGAGGCCAAACACTACTTGTGCTGACGAGTAGTCATCAATTCACTCATTAATAAAATATTTCTTCCAATCAATTGTTAATAAGATTTCCAACAAATCTCGAGATTAGGGAATGTATTAATTATTTGTTGAGTTTGAGTGAAAGTTTCTACAAAATTATAAAATTTAAATGTAAAACATATTTCAATGTTAACCATAACTTGCATCATATTCTTTGTTATTTGTTTAACAATTGAACTTTTATTACATTTATTATAACAAATAAAATTATTTAATTAAAAAGAAAATATTGACTCTTTTCTAAGAAAAATTGAGGCTAATATTGAAACCATACCAAAAATTATTTTATTTACTCAAACAAAGTCGTGTACAAATTTATGTAAAATTATGTAAACGTAATGCCTTTATTAGAATCTTAAACTTTAAAATAAAATCACATTTTAATAGCATATAAAGAAAAATAGGTACTAATTTGTTCTCAAATAATCATAACTGTTAATATTATCACATATTTAAGTGTTTCTAATCATAACTAATAGTTAAATAATAAAAATGACACAAAACAATAAAACAATAAAACAATAAAATACTTTATTCGCTTTTATAATTTACTAGTTAGTAAACTTAAAATAATGTTTAAAATGATTGAAATATTTCATATTGATTTTCAACTCAATTTATGATAAAGTATAAATCAAATATAAAATTATAATACACAAAGATTTGAAATGACTTCGAGTGAAGTATTTAGTGAAGAGAAGCCCAACATTATTGGATTCAGTCATCCGAGTCATAAAGTGTACAGATATTCATATCTTGTATTATTATGTCTTTTAGGGACCGGTATGTATTGACTATATTATAATTAAAATTGTACAAATATTTGAGCACCTAACTCATAACTAAAATTTTAAAATGTTAAATAAAATATTATAATAACTTAATTAGTATACAATTAAACTAGGAAATTATTTTTGCTTTGATCAACCCGGGTCACTCCAGGAGCACATCATTGGGGACATGGGTGTGAGCACAACCACATTCACACTGCTATACTCAGTGTTTAGTTGGTCTAATATTGTGGTGAATCTGTTGGGAGGATATCTAGTGGATCGCTATTTAGGCATCAGATTGGGATCAATAATATGCTGTTGTTTCACAGTTTTGGGACAGTTTTTATTAGGTGTGGGCGCTTATGTGAACCAATTCTGGGTTATGCTATTCGCACGCTTTGTCTTCTCGTTGGGCAGCGATAACCTCACACTCATTGGGTATATGCGAGCCATTCAGTGGTTCCCCGAAAGTGAACTCAATTTTGTATTTGGTATGCAATTGAGTGTCAATCGCTTTGGAAGTACTATCAGTTTCATAGCTATGGAACCGCTCTATAATTATGTCAACCAATATATCACAGCCTATAAGTGTTTGGGTGTTGTGTTCATGAGTGTGGCCGCACTGCCAGCAATGGATCTCATACTTGCCATTGTGTTGGCCCTATTGGACACAAGGGCTCAACGTCTGTTAGACACCAAAAGTGGTCAAAGAGAGCGCAATCCCAACGATAAAATTAAGTTCAAAGATATCGTTCAATTCAAACTCGATTACTGGCTCCTCGTTTGGGTCATTGTTTTCAATTATAGCGCTGTCTTTCCCTTCATTTCATTAGGAATGTATGTATTACTGTATTACTGGTCATACAAATTAACAACTATAAAAAATCACATAAATTTATTATACCTTTAATTCTCTGCCAGTACTGGCATTTAAATCAATAATTAAAATCAGTAATTGAATCAATTTAGTAGAAATACAACTCAGTGTTTAAGTCTGTGAGATATTCTTATAATTAGCAATATACATGTATACATGTATTAGAATTGATGAAGTCTAATGTTTACAACATTTATATTTATAGTCCATTTTATAAGAGAAAGTTTGGGTTCAGTGGTTCGGAAGCCAATGTAATAAACAGTTCAATATATTTCATATCTATATTCGCGTCGCCGGTAATGGGTTTCATAATAGGACGGGTCGGACATAACTTGTTGTTCGTCACTCTATCCGTATTACTGACGGCTATATCGCACGCAATACTGGGCTTCACTTTCGTGAACCCCTGGGTGTCCATCGTATTGATGGGAATCGCGTACTCCATCTTCGCGTGTATCGTATGGACAGTCATCTCATTCATTGTGCCCAAGAATACGTTGGGCACAGCCTTTGGTATATCGCAGGCTCTCATCAATTTAATACTCGGTCTCATCGACTTAGCCGTCGGCTATATCATTGACAATAAGGGTTATCTAATATTAGAAATATTTTTCATTGAATGGTTATTATGTGAGTCAAACGAATCAATTTATAAACCTTGCTTTTTATTTAAATTTTAATTTATTAAATAATTTCAGTAACAATAATACTAATGTTGGTGCTTCTCATATACGATCATAAAAAGGGAGATGTTTTGGATAAAAGGTATAATATTTGGCATTAACATCAGATATAATATTATTAGTTTTTATATATCTGGATTATTTTATTTTCAGAAAAAATGTCGATAAATGTGATTAAAACAAGTGTTGTATAACTTAAACTACAAACTTATGTTTTTATTTTGGAGAATTGTGATAAAAATAATTTAATTTTATATTAAATAAATATATTTAAAACTATTCATAAATTAACAAAATATAATACAATGTAAAGTATTGAAATAGAATTAAATATTAATTAATATTTGATAAGGCGGGTTCACCAATAAAATTTTGACCAAAAATTGACCCCTTCACCCTAAACGCCTATCATACAAAAGAAGTTAACATGGTCATATACCATAGGCATGACTCCTTCATCAACGTGAGTATATATTGTACTTTGTGACAGCCTCCTAACATAAAATAGAAATATACAGGGTAACAATCAAAAGATTCTAAATCTCTTATTACGGTATATAACAGTAAAAGTGTTTCAATCAATTATTTGAACCCAAATCACAATAATGTAAATGCAAACCGATAGGTGGCAAACACAATGTTACTGTATTTTTGATGTAAAAAACAAATTGATTATTACAGTATTTTTGATTATTTATTACTGTATAACTCAAAATTCTTAAAATTATCTTAAAATCATTAGAAAATAAATTTAGAAAATAAGAAAATAGTATTAAAAAAGTATATATTTATAATTAAATGAATAAATAAAATATGAAATGAGTAGCGATTTAGTTTGTATGTTTGTAATACATTAGTTAAAGAGAACATTAAGTTAAAAGTTAAAGTAAAGGGAAAATATTTTAACAAAATAACATGCAATTAATGATAGGGTATTTTATTTTATTTTCATATCAAATAAATAATGTGTAAAATATTTTTTATTACCAAAAAAATTAAGATTAAAAAGAGTAAAAATAGATTATGATCTAATTTAACAACATATGTGTAGTAAATATTTTGTAACAAATAGCAGATTAAATTTATAATAAAACTGAATTTGAAAATTAAACAGTAATTAAAAATCTTAACTATTATTTAATTGTTTAATATTGTGAGATATGTATAGATTACAATTATTAAGTCTACTTCTGTGTCCATACATCGCATGTTACAGACATCTAACTGAGGCGTCCACCTGTATTGACAACAACACCGGTTACACAGAATACAAATATTTGGGAACTTTTACTTGTGATAAGAATTCATACTTTAAGAAAATTTATTTAATGACAAATGGATTCGCAAACATATCGTGTAGTAATAGTTATGTGGGCTATAACTCATTGCCAACCTTTCAAGTGGTGGCCATTAACCAGAATGAGGCCGAAGTGCCCCTCCGGTCGCCCACCTCCTACTTGGCCCGCGTTAATGTCAAAGGTTGTAGACATTCAAACATAAAAATAGGCTCAACTGTCATATATTGGTATAATGGGCATAATGAAAGTTATTATCACACATACATTTCATCAGGTTTTGTTGCAATTAATTTCAATTATCGTTAATAATACTCTATTGTGAACAAGGTTACTAAATTAGGACGGTGATTATATACAGTATATAGTATCTTTTAATTAAAGTTATTAATTAAATTAAATTTAATTTAATTACATCATTAAATCTAAAAATTATACTAGTAAACTTGAGAATTTATAGGTAGCGTTAATACTAACAAGTATTAAGTATTGTAAGCATTGAGAACATTATAAAAATAATCATAAATGCTTAAAATACTCATGTGATTAGTGATGAAAAAGTGTGCTCATTACCAATATTACAACTGATGTCTCTTTAGTTGGGGATTAGAGTAATCATGACATTAAAGTAACGAAATAATTATCCAATTATAATTTTTTTGATTGTGTTTCAGGCGTTGAATCTTATAATGCATTTCAATGGCTTGTGGGCACTCCCTGTGATGGGGCCCTCCTGTACATAAAGTTTGATTTATACCCATACGTGGGAACCTGTGATTCAAATGAAGGGGTCAGTCAGGCCAGGACTAGGAGTGGATACATGAGTATTGTGAACAGCAATCCAGCCAGCAAACAAAATTGTAACATTAATTGCTATGGAGAGGTGTTTGGCTACTATTGTCCGGGAAAGACATTTGCAATTTATAGTCAATAAATTCAAATCATTTGTACATTGAGTTAGCTAACCATTTCATTTATTCTTAAATATAAAGAAATTTAATTACTTTAAATATGAAATGACACAATTTGGTTGAATAGGGTCCGTGCGGTCCAGTGGCTAAAACGTATGACATGTAATCTGGAAACCCTGGTTTAAACCCCGGTACCCTTTTAAGCACAACTTTTTAAATATTTCTAATACTTTCCATGCATTTGATAGGCTTTCTGTAAGACAGAGTTATTTTTAAATACAAATATACTGTATGAATTATATTATAAAATATCGGTAATGTATGAATCTAATGAATGTATGATAGGTGATATAAGTTTATTGTAGTGTTTAATACACAAATACATGTTTAATTAAAAACAAAATAAGTAAAATAAACAA